CTTCCCTTCCCCCCACCTCCCCCTCTCCCATGTCTCCCCGGAACTGTCAGTCTTGTTTTCTCCTCCAGATTGTTCATCCAGCCTGTCCTATCCAGGCAGACCTGCAGAGACAACAACATGCACAAAAAGAAGACAGAGCAAAACCAAGCAACAATGTGCAACAACATCAAGCCACTGACACAGAACAAATTAAAATATACCAAGAAAGAAAAGCTTAACATGAGTATACCTACTCATAATTCATAAGTGAAATAATATTGAACCTGGTACCTGATATACTTGCTACCAGAGATTATTCTAATTTGGTTTTGTTGCTAACAGCACCTGGACAGTAGCTTTGGAAGTTACTGGATAGGTTTAGATCATTCTCAAGTTGCTTTTTTTTTTAGATACAAAGATTTTCATCGAGGTCATTGGTTCTCAACCAGGGTGTATTTTGCCTCCCAGGGGATCCGTGTCTGGGGGGATTTTTTTTGTTTGTCACCAGTGGAATGGGTAGGGAGTGTGCTACTGTCATCTGGTGGTTAGAGGCCAGGTGTATTGCTGAATAGCCTATAATGTACTACAGGTCAGTCCTCCCGCAAAGATTTTTGCATCTCAGCATGCCAGTTCTGCCAAAGTTGAGAAATTTGATGTAGTGGGAAAATGTCTCATGATTTAAAGAGTAGCTATTCAGAATTAACAGATAAAAGAGAATAGTAAAAACTACCTGCACACTTCTTTAAAAATCCATCCATGAGAACTTTTGTTCTACAGTATCTGCTATGTTTGCCCTGTCAGTCTCAAGAGTTCCACCATTAGGCCAGCCAGTCTGGTCTTTTTTATGACTTTGTTCTACATATTGCTCCTGCTCGGTCCGAGACATTGGCACAGTGACTTAAGTGCTGGGCCGTGAACTAAGTTTTGATGGTTCAACACCCCAGCTGCTCCCTGAGAGAAAGATGAGGCAGTCTGGTTCCATTAAAATGGATAGCCTCTGTCACCCTCTGGAGCAGCTTACACTGTCTGACAAGGTCCTTGTGAACTGGATGGCTGTGTGTGCGGGTTTGTTTTGGTCCAGGACCTTCTGCTGTGATTCTCATCAGAGCACTTGGTATTGGTAGCTGGTGTAACAGTAGTTTGCTAAGATTATTTATAACAGTTTAATCTGAACAGAATCCACCATTGAAGTGTATTCACGTTCCCCATCTTCGATAACTATATTGATGGATTTTTCAACACAAGCCAGTTCAAACAGAATGACTCTTTTTTTTCTCCTGTTACTATGAATGAATTCAGAGCAAATGAGTTTTTATTCAACAATTTTTGTTTGTCTTCTCACTTCCTCCCTGCATTTCCTATTTCCATTTGCCCTTCTTTCCTATCCGCTTTTGCCTTCTGAGCTTCCTCACTGGGTAAATGCTGCCTTTTTGATCTCCTATGGCTGGTCATCCTCAGGAGTGCATGCCTGTGTTACTGTTCACCTTAGGGACTTCTCTGCTGTGTGACTGAAAGTTGAGCCACAGGGTTGGAATTAGTTTCAGGCATCAGGGGTGGCAGAGGGCCTCAGTCTCAGGGGTTCCACTACTCTCTATCCAACCAATAAGCTGGTTATTTTTTAAGATAATGAGGTTCATTCCATGTTTTTATCCCACTTTTTTTGGTCCTCCTATTATGATTCAGAGGGGTTGGTAGTGGTAGCCAGGCATCATATGATTTCTTTTGGCTTCTGGGTCTTGGTTGGTGAGGCACACATGGTCCATTAGCCCTTAGCACAATTGGTTTCCACATGCCTTTGATTTTCTTCACTCTCCGTGGCTTCAGACAGGAAGAGACCAATAGTTGTATCTTGGAAGGCCCCTTGCTAGCTATTAAGACTATTATTCATTATGCACCAGCAGTAGGTATAGAGGATTGTCTTTGTGAACTACCTTAGGCCAAATGACTTAGATAAAATAATATGACTGCTGCAATCTCTTTTTAGCATGTATATGTAAACTGTCTTATATCTTTGGAGTACTAACCCCGCCTTTCCCTAAATTATATCAGTTAGTGGAGTGTTTTGACTTGGAATGTCCACACACTTCAGAGGGGGGCATATTTCCTTAATGCTTGTTGCTGTTGAATGCTTTGAGGTCGATTGGGACTCTCAGCAGAAGTCCGAGGTGGGTTCACATCGCCAGCCTATCGATTCGCTGCCTGCTGCTTAAGCGTTGCACTGTCTGGCTCGGTTTCTGTACGTTTAGAAGGCAGCAGTCTTGGGAAAGGAACTTATGTTTAGTTTGCTCCCTCCTGAAAGATTTTATAAAATGATGTGGCATTTTAATTTCAACAAAAGTTTTATTACCATTGATAAGACAGCACACATTAACTAATGTTTGAGGCTTTGACGTAATGGTATGTAATTGTTAACTTCCTGAATGTTACTACATGCATTAATAAACAGAAGATGGGATGGGAAAATGTTGCTTTATTTTTCAGAATATAAATTTAGTTGTGAATGTCATTGTAGCAGCCTGGTAGACTGAAGTGCTATTTTGGATGATAATACTAACTTGCTTTCTAGTTGTAAATTT